TAGATAGATAGATAGATAGATAGATAGATAGATAGATAGATAGATAGATGGATGGATGGATGGATGGATAGATAGATAGACAGACAGATAGATAGATATAGATACATATTTCAAGTATATTGGTGGAAATAACCAGCAGTTAGATTACAACAATGTGGAAAATATTCACCATGGGTTTTAGCTGCTGCTGCTAACTTTCATAGCTAGATCTTGACACTATGGATTTGTACTTCCAGAAGAATTTATCTAACAGTCATATATGAAGAATAATTGTATCAGAAGTTGCTAATGAATGACTACTTAAAGGCTAAGATAATCCCAGATAGTTTGACTCTGGACCTGCAATATTAAAACTCTTACTATCATTGGTATTCTGATCAGTTGATCATCTTTGTAGAATATGTAATATAAGTACAAATTTTCCTGGAAACTTAAGTCAACAAAAAAAGAATTTTCTTTATTTGTGACTGAGTTTCTCAAGTGTAGACATATGCAAATTTGAGTAAGATAGGAGAGATTCACAGAGAAAATCACACAAATCTGTTTAAAGGACAAACGAACAATCAGAGGAACTGAAGACATGAGAATTTTCATACTTGCTTGATGGGGCAAGGAAAGTCATAGGAAGACAGGATGGGCATATTTGTGTGCTAAAGATAATAAAGTACAGGAATCTTAGTAATTAGAACCATCTAATAATCAGTTCCAGGGCCAGTATAGACAGCACCTCTCACTTGAGGGTCTTCTGATCTACCTCAATTGGGGGGTGTCAGAGAACACCTCAAATTCCTTTAGCTTTTAATATCAAGCCTGCAAAGATGACTTACCTAGTTTACTTATCTGTCAGTATTACCCATAGCAACTTGAAGAGGTAAGGTTGATTTCACTTGCAGCTTACAGTCCACCATTGAGAGAAACCAAGGCAGGAACCCAAGGCCCGAGGTTGACGTGGAAACCATAGTCCGTGAATGAGTAAAGGTAGGGCAGAGCATCAGACAGAAGCAGAAATGAGTACCAAAGAGAAATGCTGCTTCCTGGTTTGCTCCTGGATTCATGTTTAGTTATATTTCCTATACAGACCAAATCCAACTGCTTATGAATAGTAACACCACAGTGGGCTGGGCACCCCTCCATCACTTAACAATCTACCTGTGTCACAGACATGTCTAAAGACCAATTTGATGGACGTGATTCTTCAACCGAGGCTTTCTCTTTCAGGTGTCTCAAGTTGACAGTCAAGATTGGCCACCGCAGTGCCCTATTCTGGGACAATCCATTCTGAGACATACCACATCATTTAAGGAATCAATCACAGATAAACATTAAGTCTGCAGGAGGGAGTACTGAAATTATACTAGCTAGTTCTTCGCTACTCTTAATTTTCATGATTCCACGTTCCTGTGGCTGACATGAACCAATAGAGTACAATAAGATAGCTTGACAGACACAGATGCAGAGTCCATATTCTCCTAAATTTTATAACATGTTAGTGTAATTTTATTTTGTTGTAAATTGTTAATTTTCTTTCATGCTTAATATATAACCAAGTGTCATAGAAGAGTATGTACACATAAAAATAAAATATCCATAGAATTTAGTCCTAACTGTCATGTTACCAATTATCAATGGGACCTTGGCATGTTACTGAAACATAAGTAAGATGCAGTAATATTCAAAAATTAAAAGCATGGAAGACTAGACTGACGTAGATGCACAATTCATTTATACAATTATCGAAGGAGCCAGAGCAGTACTAGTAATGTAAAAGCAGTGGAGAACTGGGCACCCATAAGTACCCTTAGTTATTTAGGGCTTTTACAGTTTGAGGGTAATTAAACTCTTCCATGTAGCTAAGAAGGCTTCAAACTTTCTATGTAACTGAGAATGACCTTGAACTTCTCGTTCTCTTGTTCCCACTTCCCCAGTGCTATGTGTGCAGACATGTAACATCATGCCTGGCTTACATGACACTGTAGATTGAACCCAGAATCTTTCATATTTTAAAAGGTAGGCATTGTACCAACTATGCAACATCTCTAGCTCAATTTTAATTTGATTTATTTTTTATGAATATCTAAAAAAATTAACAAAAGAATTATGGAATAGATGTAAGTGCTTAATATATCATAAAGTTATAACATATAATTGAGATTATTTTTCCTATAACCACAAATTATACACTGCAGATTTATACTGCTATATAAAACTATACTGCAAACTACAGTGTAACAACTATGGAATGATAAAAAAGAAAATGTTCAAATAAAACACATATAATTTTATGTGGCCGTTTTATCCATTATATCTATTAGCAGTTAGTTATTTGGATTTGAAATGAATTGACTAAAATACAGTAAATTGATAATTTATTTTCTCAAAAATAGAAGCTAGTATTTGGAAAAGATGATGACCTCTTTATTACATCTCGCAGATAATAAAATAGTTCCATCCTCATTATGTAACATGGTATTGAAATGCAGAGAATTCTTAAGCTTTATTTTCTTTCTTTTTTCTTTCTTCACTGCCTGAGAATGCCTTTGAAGGAATCTGTCACCTCACCTTTGCTTTGTTTAAAAATATTGGGTCCATTTATGTAGGCAAAGTTATCGTAAAGCTTTCTTTTCTTATCATTTCTAAATATTTTCTATCCTTTTATAGTTTTAGTTGTTTGAGAATTCTACACATGCATATAATATGTCTTGTTCAAATCCGTATACCCCCACCGAGTTTCTCCACTATCTCTCCTATCCCTGGGCTCTGATGTGGTGTGCTTTTTCAAACCTGAGTCCACTTGGTGCTCTCTGTATGCTTCTTGGCATAGTACCACCTACAAAGAAACTGATATGCCCTACAAAGGAACCATGAGATTCCAACAGCCCTGTAGACTAGGAGGGATCTTTACTAGTGCCTGCCGCATCCATGCTGGGTTTTAGGTTGTCTTGATCTAATACAGGTCTTGCACATGGACTCATGGGTGCTCTGAATTCATTGCTAAAAAGCCATGTCATGCTTAGCAAGAATTAGTTTGCTGAAAACATCAATTAACTGATCCTTAACATCGTTCTGCCCACTTCTGTGATCCCTGTGCCTTGAAGGATAGGGAAATAAATTAGATGACCTTTTTAGAGCAGAACATCTCACAACTTCTTATTCTCTGTACCACTGGCCAGCTGTGGGTCTCTGTATTAATCAACATTGTATTAGCTATGGTTCTCTAGGTTTGCAGAACTTGTGGAATGAATCTCTCTCTCTCTCTCTCTCTTTCTCTCTCTCTCTCTCTCTCTCTCTCTCTCTCTCTCTCTCTCTCTCTTCCTCTATAGTAAAGGTAATCCAACAATGGCTAGCTGTGAACAGAAAGTTCAAGAATCTAGTAGTCGCTCAGTCACGCAAGGCTGGATCTCTCAGTTACTCTTCTGTATATGCTGGGCTCTGGAAGAAGTGGGCTTCACTTCCAGTGAAGAAATAAATGTGCTAGCAAGGCCAAGGAAAGAAGGGCAAGACATAATGTCACTGGGTCTGGCTTGAACACCTGAAACCTCAAAGACCACCCACAGTGAGACACCTTTTCCGTGTCTATTTTCTACTGCCTATGGCCTTGCTACTCACTAGGTTTTTGGCCCAGTTAATAGTTCCAGACTTGACTCTTATTTTGTGTGTTGGTTATAAGTATGAAAAAAAAAACATGTTTACTTCCATACCGTTCTTTCTACTATTGTATAAGTGGTTATATATTGTCAGACCAGTCATTATTTTATGAAACAGGATTCATAGATAAGCAAAACTGTTTAGTATTTTCTCTCCAGATCATATGTATAGAACTTTTCAGGTCTATGAAAGCTATGCAGGTTGGTAACAGGGCAATATCTCCATGCTTTATTATTCAAGTATGTGCTATCTTTGGTAGTGGGGTCTTTTCGTTGTCTGGTGGGCAATCAGGTGCAATGGCATTACCTGTGATGTTTGGAGGGTTTATGGAACCCCATTGTCCAATAGATCAAAAATAGGTAGTCCATACTTGGCACTTGGCTTTTGATAGCTTAATGTCTTGAATGTGCCCTTTTCTTCCTATTATAGAGAAGCTCCATTTTAGATATGTATATGCATACGTATATGTTTATATATACATTTGGTTGCTTCCAAAGAAGAATGTCTCCTTATGGCATTTTCAACAGACATTAATGGCTGTTATTCCATCTGTACTCTCTTCTACCCATCCTCCCACCCCCAGTGTATTTACCTCCTCATGTTCCCTTGTCCCCTCTTCCTCTTTATAACACCTGATTTTTAATCTCTCTTTCTCTGAAACTCTATGACCTCTCTTTTCCTTTTTTTAAATAGATGATTGAGAACAACCATTGACAAAAGATATTCTCTCATTATTACAAATGAGCTTTATTGTTGAACTTCTGGTATTCATTGATGAAATGAGATATTTTGACAAATCCAGAAGAATGTTACAAAGTGAATGCCTATATTTTAAGAATAGAAACTTTCTTTTTTCTAAGTCACTATAGCAAAGTCTTTACATAGCAAAGAGACAGCCATGGAGTAGACGTTATTTTTCACATTGCACTCACTTACTTTCACATTGTTGGAATTTTTCTTTGAAGGTTTTTTTTTAAGACATAAAAACAAAACAGGTAAAATAAAAAGAAAGCTAACTAAAAAACCCCCTGTGTTTTAGCTATTTTCTGGGATGGCATGCGCAGACTGTATATTCTGGCTATGATCCAAACATTTGTGTTTGTGACTGAGTTATTCTGCATCTATGTTTTTCAGATGTGGAACAAATGGCAATTGACTGGCTTACCAGAAATTTCTACTTCGTGGACCACATCAGTGACCGAATCTTTGTGTGCAATCATAATGGCTCCGTGTGTGTCACCCTGATTGAACTGGAGCTTCACAATCCTAAAGCCATAGCAGCAGATCCTATCGCAGGGTAAGAACTTCACCTTCAATGTGCCAGGTCTAGAAAAGCTCCCATTAAAAAGGGAGCAAAGCCTAATGTGAGGTTCTGTAGGAAAGCAGATGTTAATATTATGAAAAAGAAGTGTATTGATTTTAGTCCTAGTATTGCAGGAAAAGAAATGGGCCAAAAGTCAACACTTGAAACTTAGTGGCTATTGGCCGCCTAACAGGAGTGATTCCACAGACCTCTCCTGAGACACCAATATACTTCCCTTTTCCCGAAAATTGCTTGTGATCTACAAACAACCTCAGTGGAGTGTCAAGCTCATTTCTGATACTCAACAGGGAACCTTAGAAGTAGCAAGTCTCACAAATGCTTCTTGAAAAATGTACTGTTAATGTACTTGAGCCAGCATAGCATTTAGGTTTTTATAAGCTAAATACAATTTATGTTCAAGGATACTCCAACATTAAAGATATCTTTGTTACTTAAGATTATTTTTCCAATAAACATTGATATTTTTGCCTAATAATATTATTGGATTAATGAACTTAGCAGAATCCATTTCTTACTTGTTAGCTTTTTAATTTGTGATTCATTTTATTGGTTTATAAACAGTCCTTATAAGACTCTCTCTTAAATAATAGAATCATTAATCTTTTTAAAATATTGACTTCTTCTTGCTAAAATATGTTCACAAATGTTAAATTCCTATGAATTTTGTTCATACACTGGGAAAAATCTATATAGAAAAAAAAATCACTTATTATGTAAACATGGCAGTATAATTAGAAGAGGAAAAAACAAAGAAGCAGGGAATTCTCGAAATCACCTGTTCATTACTCAGTGGAGCCAAAGGGAATGTGGGAATCAACAGGACAGAGAACTACTCGAGTTGAAAGGACTATTGTTTTTGAATATGCAAATTGTGGCAGACTGAAAACTGGAATTTTATTCTTACTGTCATTTCAACAGTCCTCAGGCATTTCGGCTGAAATGTCTTATGGAACTTAGCCTAAAGTGCCATAAGCCTCCGTTCAATAAAGGGGAAATATTTACTGAAGAAACAGCTGCCATCCATATGTGGACTTTGTCACTCTTTACTTAAAGTCTGATTGAATATTAAGATGCATCATCACAATGGTTCTGATTTTGACAAGAACAGCTTGCACGTAAGGACTCTGCGAGGAAGGCTGTGTTTCATAAGTCTTGAATGAGACTCTATTTGTGTTTGCAGCAGATGGTGACTTGACTGCAGCGATGCTTCAAAAGGCATTAGGAAAAGAAGTTGTATTTAAACGGATTTGTTTGGGTGGTTGGGTACAGCTAGGAGGAGAGAATTGGAGATGTACAAATGCGCTCACGGCATTCTCTTGGCATCCCTTTGGAAATGTATGTGCTTGCAAGTTTTGCTCTGATGATACTAACTGAATTGCAAATCGGCCTTGCGACAGTCGTGTCTATCCAAACACTGAGAGGTGAAGCTGCCGTGTTCCTCCTTTCTAGTCACCACAGTCTTTGCCTTTCTTAAAAACAAAGATGCCGTGAGTCTTTCCAACAAAGCTGCCAACCGAAACGTAGCATGTGTGAATGTTGTTTCTCATTCTCAGCAACAGCATGCTTTATGTTTGCAGGCAACTTATTTCTCCCTGTCATTACAAGAAAGAGCCATATTTTGTCATTTTGTCAACCGCATTAGCAGTAGAAAGCCCCAACACTGTTTGCACACATTCTCTGATGGGTTCCTTGGGACTCTGGAACAGCTTAAGTGTAATTTGCTGCGTGTCATTTGTCACAATAGGTGCTCTGAAATGTTTTGCGTGGTCTGACTCTCTTTTTCAATGCATGATCACAGATAGCAAAGCGAGAACTGCTCTGCTATTGTGAGTTCATACAGTTTGGGGCTGAGCGCTTCAGCTCAGCTCCTCCTGTGTGGGAATAGCCTCTGGACTGACAGTGCACTGATGCACGGAGAAAAGTGGGAGGAGATTCCCCTTTCACCCCACTAGGATTCGTTCTGAAGATAATATCTATACCTGAGTTACGAGCAGGGAAATGCTAATAGCATAGTACTTCTCTTATTTCTAATTGTGCAGGGAAATGGTTTTTTTGCTTTAGTATGTTCTGAATGTTCAGAAATATGAGAATATATCAGTCATCTCACCGGAATCCTGTGTGTCCTAAACTAAGGAGGCTTGAACCACAAACATAATGGTCTTATGTCCTAAAGTCCATATAGAAGAAACAGCACTCTCTTTGCTGTGTCTGTGACTTGACTTTCCTTGCCCTCTTTTTCCATTTGCACATCACAGGTGTTTCAAGATTAGCATCATTATCTTTCAAATGTTATCCTCTGCTGTGTTTAGTTGTTTGAAGTTTGGACACAGAAAACTAATGCTTTGTGGACTCTCATCATGCCCGGAGCCAATCTCAATAAAAATAGGCCAAAAAGATGTTTCTAATGATATTAGAATATATCTAATGATATTGTCTTCAATTTTTAATTACGTTCTTCAACTTACCATTTCAGGCAATTTTCCCGAGATGTTTCTCAAGGTTTTTCTTTCATTGTTCAACAGTATTTCCTTTCAGTGGCTCCGAGAAAAGCAACAATAAATTATAGATGAGGAGCTATTAAAGTTGGAGGGTAGCAAAGAAGTCATGGTGTACCAATATTAAAAATAGCCAGTCTTTCAGGTGACCATGAGAATTCTGCTTGTTTAATAGTTAAGAACTGTATCTTACTTCGTCTTACACATTGTTTCATTTTCAACAGATTTTCTTTCTGATCAGTCTCTTCAATCGGTATATTTCATGTGGACTACATTTATTTATAAAAAGAGTATGGATGAATATAAGACAAATAGAAAAAATGAGATATATGTTAAGAATGAAAATAAAATAGTAGTCGAGGGGAAATGGAGAGCAGCTGTGGGGACAGGAGAGGAGTGGGGGAAATCTCTTCCTCAAGCATTGCTATGTTCATAAGATTTTTAAAGTTTTATTAAGCTATGAAAACTTACATAGGATATAAATATTTTGGTAATGTCCTTTTTGAATAAGTTGTAGAAGAAAATAATAATTCTGTTTCACTATTCTTTTATTGGAAACAATTTTCTTTTCATACAATATATTCTAATCACTTGGCTCTCTCTCAGCAATTCACAGATCCTACAATCTCTCCACAAGCCCAATTGCTAGTTATTTTTTTTCCTCTCAATCTCATCCAGGCAAAAACACGCAAAATATTATTTAGAGATATTAACAAAAGAAAAACATTCAAAGAGCTGACTATTTTCAAATTAGCATAGGAGACTTCAAAACTGAAAAAGAAACACGAAACCAAAACAAACCATGTGAATTTTATGCTACCTTTAAATGACACCGGCACTTGTAGATCAGTAGAGTAGGGCAGAGGAGGCTGTTATTTAATGGTGGATGACTGAGTCAGGCAATGCCATGCTTCTTCAGGATCTGTGTCAACAAAAGGAGGGAACAGGGATGAAGAACAGCATGTCAGTTTGTTTATTTGCTTGGTTGTGCTATTTTTATTTTGCTTGTTTGTTTGTTTTATTCTGCTGCCTCCTCAATTGCTAAGAGATGCCATCTTGCAAGCTAGCATGATATGAACCTCACCAAGCAAGAAGGGAACAGGAAACTACCTTTAACAGTTGTGTAGACACGAATTTACATTGGCTTCATCATTTCCAAGACTAAAGGGTAACAGTGAAATTTGATGACGGCTGCTTTTGTCTGTGCACACTATTAGAGAAGGCTTGATTCAGTGCTGTGTATTAGCTGGGTCCATTGGTTTTACTGGAGATCATGGGCAAGCTAAGTCTGGTTTTTGTTCTAGTTGGGGCCTTCAGATTCATTTCTGCTTGTTTGCTTGCTTGTTTTTATTGAGCTATATATTTTTCTCTGCTCTGTTCCTTCCTCTTTTCTCACCTTCTACTCTTTGCTGTTATCCACATACTCCCAATTTACTCAGAAGATCTTGTCTTTCTCTCCTTCCTATATAGATTCTTGTATATCTCTCTTAAGGTCCTCTTTGCTGTGTATTGCTAGAGCTAATGGGCCAAGCAGTGATTTAATTAATAGAGTTTCTGTGTGATTATTTCAGGTCTAAGCTAGCCTAGCAGCTGAAAACCAACAAGTAATCCTTCCCTTGCAACATCTATGTTCTCTGTGGTTATATACTCTAGGCTAATTTTTCTTTGCTTTATGTCTAAAAGCCACTGATGAGTGAGTACATATTATATTTGTCTTTCTGTGTCTGGATTACCTCACTTAATGTGGCTTTATTATAGATCTATCCACTTGCCTGCAAGTTTCAGGGTGCCATTATATTTTGCCACTGTATATTACTCCATTTTATAAATATATCACATTTTCTTTACCCATTGTTTTGGTTTAGGAGAATGTAGGATTTTTTTTCAGGTTATGGATATTACAAATAATGCTGTTAAGAAAATAGTTGAGTACATGTCATTGTGGTATGATTGAGCATCCTTTGGGTATATACCCAAAAGTGGTATTGTTGGGTCTTCTTTTGGGGGGGGACATTTTTTTATTTATTTACTTATTTATTTATTTATAAAAATTTCCACATCCTCCCCTCTTCACCATACCCTCCCATTCCCCGCACTCCCTCTCCTCCTCCCTTTCCAGTCCTAAGAGCTGTCAGAGTTTCCTGATCAGTGGGAAGTTCAAGTTCCTCCCCCCCTCCCTCCAGGTCTAGGAAGGTGAACATCCAAACAGACTAGAATCCCAAAACGCCAGTATGTGCAGACTAAACAAGACCCAGTGCCATTGTCAATGGCTTCTCAGTCAACCCCCATGTCAGCCACATTCAGAGAATCCGGGTGATCACATGCTCGTTCAGTCCCAGTCCAGCTGGCCTTGGTGAGCTCTCATTCGATCAATCCCATTGTATCATTGGGTGAACGCATCCCTGGCGGTCCTGAATTCCTTGCTCACGTTCTCCCTCCTTCTGCATCTCATTTGGACCTTGGGGGCTCAGTCCAGTG